AAGATCACTGGATTTTCAGGCCCAGTTCTAACACTGCCTTATTCCATCCGGTTGTGTGACTAGTCAAATACGTACTGAAAAACAAACCAACCTCAAATTGCTGTTTTGTCATCTGAATCGGGAAGGCCTGCATTTCCCGTGTGTGTCAATTCTTGCTCCAAATGGCTCACGTGGCCAACGTTAAGGTCAGTATCATCCTCATTCATGCAGGAGTAATCTGATGACTCACTTTGACCTCCTGAAAACCTTGCAAATTTGGTTTTTCATGTACCACTGAAGTGAGTGAGGCTAGTTTTAACAGAAAAATCAAGTTTTTAAAAAGACAAACCCTAAATGCGCAGTAAAACTCAACCTGTTGCTGCTTTGGGCTCCTACACACGCCTTGCCATTTGGCTGCCGAGTGGGTGGACAAATCGGCTTTAGCTTCCCCCAGGTACAGTTACTGTGAGTCACTTCCGGGTCCATTATGGTAAAATACACGTTTACATAACAGAAGAGTGGTGTGGGTGCATTTTACCCCTCGTGATGCTCAGGTAGACGTGCCGGTAAAAATCCTGGTTTGACACTTTTGCACACTTGCAGTGCAGACCTTGCTCCAAATGGGTAAACACCAACATTGCTTCCTGTATCCCCAGGCACAGCTACTCCATGCATAGCCAGCTATTACGCTAAATTAGAAATTTACAGTAGAAGAGTATAGGATGGGTCACTGTAACCCAACGTCATGCCCTACATGAAAGGCTGTTTGAAACCGAAAGCAGACAGCTCTCATTATTTGGACACCAGCTCGCTACAGGGAACGGAGTCTGATCGTACTCACTGGAACGATGGCCCATCTGCAATGAATTTTCAGTGTGCACGTATCAGGCTGTACAGTGAGGAGCAGTTTGGGGGAAAATGTTGTGCAGTTCTTCGGAAAAGGGCCAGGAAAGGTGTGAATGTCTTCCTAGCAAGAAGCCTGAGAGTTACAAAACAACAAAAATCTACTTCAATCACCACACCCAGGCCGTTTTCACACATGACAACCCCATGCTCCGTGCACAAGTACTGCCTACACTGATAGCATGTATGTTCTGTTTTCCTGTCCTGTCTTGTAGGGCACAGTTGATGTCTTTTTGGTTTTCCTGTTGTAGTAGGCCTTTTTGATGTTATGCCTGCCTGCTCACCTTACAGCTTACCAGTATGGTCCACAATTTTTTTTTTTCATAATTCCATGGAAAGAAACATTGCTTTTTCTCTGCTGTAAGTGATCTCTTATGAGTTCTGGTACCAACCTCCCAGAGAATTTCTGCGTGCTGGTTTGCATGTTATTTTCTTTGTGAACTATTTATGCCATGTTCAGGATTAAAACACCACCACTGGCCAGGGTTTTGAGTGAAATTATAGTCACTGCATAACTCATCTACATTTACCCTGACTTTTGTTTTGCTGTAGAAAGTTCGTATCCTAGGCTTCCATTTTGTTCAGGTTTCCATATAAATATATATAAAATTTTTTTGGTGCCAGGGATCGAACTCGGGTCCTTGAGCTTGCAAGGCAGGTGGCAAAACCACTGAGCTAAATTCCTGGTCCCATCCTTATCATTTTTGCTGTTGTTTTTGGTGCCAGGGATCAAACTCAGGACTTTGCACTTGCAAAGCAGGTGGCGGAACCACTGATCTAAATCCCCAGCCCCTCCTTATCAATATTAACATCATGGTGCAATGTTGACATCAGCAGTACTAGTTTTTCTTTGCCATTATACAAGGTTGATGTTATATCTTTCTGAAATCCAAAGGTTGTACTAACAATTGTTTTGAAATTGCAACATTTCATTTGGAATTTCTGCTTTGTTCCTGTGTATAATTCCCGCACTGGTCCACTTGTGCTATAATGAAAATACCTCCAGAACTCTATCAAAAAATAATCTTTAAACCAGGCGTGGTGACACACACCTGTAATCCCAGCACTCAGGAGGCTGAGGCAGGAGGATCTCCGTTAGACCAGCCTGGACTACAGTGAGTTCCAGGTCTCACCTACACAGTGCGACCCTGTCTCAAAAAACAAATAAACAAAAAAGTAATCTTTATCGGTGCTGGGGATTTAGCTCAGTGGCACTGCATCTGCCTCACATGCACGAGGTCCCAAGTTTGATCCTTGGTACTGGGGGACAAAAATCTTTTCTTCAATTATCACACCTAAGGAAGTTTTCCCACGTGACAATAGCACAGTCCATGCACACGTATTGCTTACATTGACAGCATGCGTTGCTTTCCTGGGCTTTTTGTAGGAGATACTTGACATCTTGCATAACATCAACTGGAAACTGGTAAACCAATTGCCAAATGTCCCATTCTGATAATTTTGGGAGATGGGAGCAACAATTCTGTTACAGCATCATTTGGTTTATTACTAGACAAATAGTGACTTTGTGGCTGAGTTCCACGATAAATTTCTAAATTGAAATCATAACGAATCTTTGCATCTACAAGGGCATTAAGTTTTATGCCACGTTTTGAAGGTTTTTTCAACATATATTGCCCGAAGCTACGACAATCATCAAATGCTGCAAGATGTTCATCAGTACTCTCGTATTCAGATGGTGTGTGAATTAGTAATTACCACTAATCTCTCAATGAAGAGAAAGCAGAGAGATTATCAATTATTTTTTTCTTGTTGGGTAGTTTTGTCATCCAAACTCAGGGCATTTTGAAGGAAACCAAATCTTCTGTCATTTGTTATTCTACAAACTTCAAGCCCATGCCCGTGGCTGCTCAATCTTTTACATTCCTGCAATTATCATGAGAAAGCCCTGCTAGGTACAGCAGACCTCTAAGTGCTTTCAATTCAGCTAGTAAGGTGTCAGCATAACGACATTTTCAGTATCACTATTGGTGCATACAGAGCATTTTACTTGTATTATCAGCATTTGTGCCTTTCACAACATCCTGTGGTTTCATGTTACAATTTCCAACACTGAAGGGTAGTGCTGGCATTCCAACCGATAGGTTTTTCCCCTGCCAAGATCACTGGATTTTCAGGCCCAGTTCTAACACTGCCTTATTCCATCCGGTTGTGTGACTAGTCAAATACGTACTGAAAAACAAACCAACCTCAAATTGCTGTTTTGTCATCTGAATCGGGAAGGCCTGCATTTCCCGTGTGTGTCAATTCTTGCTCCAAATGGCTCACGTGGCCAACGTTAAGGTCAGTATCATCCTCATTCATGCAGGAGTAATCTGATGACTCACTTTGACCTCCTGAGAACCTTGCAAATTTGGTTTTTCATGTACCACTGAAGTGAGTGAGGCTAGTTTTAACAGAAAAATCAAGTTTTTAAAAAGACAAACCCTAAATGCGCAGTAAAACTCAACCTGTTGCTGCTTTGGGCTCCTACACACGCCTTGCCATTTGGCTGCCGAGTGGGTGGACAAATTGGCTTTAGCTTCCCCCAGGTACAGTTACTGTGAGTCACTTCCGGGTCCATTATGGTAAAATACACGTTTACATAACAGAAGAGTGGTGTGGGTGCATTTTACCCCTCATGATGCTCAGGTAGACGTGCCGGTAAAAATCCTGGTTTGACACTTTTGCACACTTGCAGTGCAGACCTTGCTCCAAATGGGTAAACACCAACATTGCTTCCTGTATCCCCCAGGCACAGCTACTCCATGCATAGCCAGCTATTACGCTAAATTAGAAATTTACAGTAGAAGAGTATAGGATGGGTCACTGTAACCCAACGTCATGCCCTACATGAAAGGCTGTTTGAAACCGAAAGCAGACAGCTCTCATTATTTGGACACCAGCTCGCTACAGGGAACGGAGTCTGATCGTACTCACTGGAACGATGGCCCATCTGCAATGAATTTTCAGTGCGCACCTATCAGGCTGTACAGTGAGGAGCAGTTTGGGGGAAAATGTTGTGCAGTTCTTCGGAAAAGGGCCAGGAAAGGTGTGAATGTCTTCCTAGCAAGAAGCCTGAGAGAAGCTGGGCGTGGTGGTGCACGCCTGTAATCCCAGCACTAGGGAGGCTGAGGCAGGAGGATCGCTGTGAGTTCGAGACCAGCCTGGGCTACATAGTGAGTTCCAGGTCAGTCTCAACTACACAGTGAGACCCTGTCTCAAAAAACAAAACAAAACAAAACAAAACGAAAAGAAGCCTGAGAGAAGTCTTGTTTTTCTGGTACCAGGGATTGAACTCGGGACCCTGTGCTTGCAAAGTAGGTGGTGGCACCACTGAGTTAAATCCCTGGCCCAAGAGAAGTCTAAAGGATATGAATAATCATGCCGGGGATTTAGCTCAGTGGTTCTGCTGCCTGCCTCCCAAATGCAAGGACCCGAGTTCAATTCCAGTACCAAAAAAAGAAAAAACAATTCCTAAAGGGTGTAACAATCACTCCCATCCCCACATCCCAAAAGCCCTGACCCCAGATGAACCCTTGTGCCCTCCACTGCTGGCCAGATCACCAATGTAACTGTCCTCGATCCCTGCTGGGCCATCTAGTCTGCCCAGTTTTGTAAATTTGAGATTCAATTAAAAAATAAAAACAAAACAAAGCACCACCAGAGAATTATTTAAATAAAAGCGAGGGCTCTCTTCAGCATGATGTGGGGCTGGGAGAACGCGCTGGCTGCCATCTCCTCACATCTTGCCCTCCTGGAGTGGGGCCTTGTTTTTCCAGTACTACTCGGGATACATCCCTGACCCTTTTTATTTGAGACAGGGTCAAGCTTGTGCTCCTCCTGCCTCAGCCTCATGAGGAGCAGGTGTCAAGCGTGTACCACCGAGCCTGGCTGTTTGGGGTTTTAGAGCTGTCCTGCCACAATTCAACTTTAAAAAACGAAACCAAGCACCAAGTGGATCCGCCCTCAGGCACTTGCCACTGGTGCAGTCTGTACAGGGACACTGTGGAACCCATGAGTGACCTGGTGGCCACTTGGGGGCTCAAGGAGGGGAGCGGTCAGTCTGCAGTGTCTCAACAGGAGCCTCACAGCCCCCAGGAGGGCCTGATAGGTGGTTCTTTTCTTTTCTGTTATTTATTTAAATATGAAAGAACACCTGGTGTCTTTCCAGTTCATTTCAAAGGAGCTCCCCTGGGTGATGGCAGGGTTGAGTCCTGGGGGTCCCGGGGCCTGGCAGGGCCCTTGGAGACCTGGGCTGGCTTCAGGATCACAGGGTGTCCTTGGTCCACCTCGCTGTGTGGAGGCCGAGGAACAGAGCTGGGTCACAGCTCACAAGCACGGTGGGCAGCGGCTTCTCTGCACGCAGCCGCCAGCTGAACAGGGCCCCTGGTGCAAGTGGACACCAAGGGTCTCTGAGGGACCAGCCACCCGTCAGTGTTCCTGGCGCTGCCGCTGGTCACAGCTCGCTGCGGGCTGCCTTGGCCACGATCACCAGCTTGGACAGCTCAGCTTTGAAGGCACCAGGCCTGTGGGCCACTGCGGGGAACAAGGACAGTCAGCGTGCGACACAGGCAGGGTCTTGGGGCTGGGGCTGGTGGGAGCCACAGGGGCACAAGGTGGGATGGGCCCTGGTCACTGCGCCAGGTCAGCAGTGGGGAAAGAGTGGACCGGGATGGCGACAGAGGGGCAGAGGTGACAGGCTGTGAGGTGGTTTACATGAAGCATCCTCCAAGAGCCACGTGTGGAAGGCCTGGTCCTGTGCGGCAGAGCCGAGCTCTGGGGCCCAGGGGGTGAGTGGGCCACGAGGGCGCTGACCCCACTGAGGGACAAAGCGATGATGACGAGGTCGGGGACCGATCAGGTGAGGCAGCGCCAAGGGGCGGACCTTGGAAAGGACCTTTGAAATGTTTTGGGAGGGTCCTGGGCGTGGAAACCAGGGCCTTTGCCTGAGGTACAACCCCAGTGCCGTTTTTCATTTATTTTGCAACAGGGTCTTGCTAAAATTGTCCAGGCAAGGCTGGGATTTACACCCTTCTGCCTCGGCCTCCCAGAGAACTGGGCTGACGGACCTCAGTCCCCACACTCTAGCTCCATGATCCATCTTTACCAACCTGCTGCTTTGGTCACTTCAAATTCCTCGTTTTTCAGGGGAACATCGCTCTCTCTTTCAAATGCAGCTTTCGACTGGAAGGGAACAAGCAGAGCCTTTACTGGAAGTCACCGTCCAGCTGGGAACAGAAGCGCTCAGTCCACTCCCCAGAGGGGCACTAATGCCAGGTGAGCCGCTAAGTCCCAGTGACTTTCCTGCGCTCTTGGGAGAGGAGGCAACAGGAGCAGCTGGTTCAGCTACCTCAGTCATCTGTTAAAAACTGGGCTGGGGATTTAGTTCAGTGGCTCTGCCGCCTGCCTCACAAGTGTTAGGACCTGAGTCCGAACCCCAGTACCAAAAAAATCCCCTAAAAATAAAACTTCAGACTCTGCCAGGCGTGGCCATGCATGTGTCACCCCAGCACTCTGGGATTCCAGCCACACCCACACCTAGTTTTTCCCAGTACCAGAGATTGAATGCAGGACCTTAAGCTTGCAAAGTAGGTGTGGTGCCGCTGAGCTAAACTGCCCAGTATGAGCTTGAACTGGGAACCTTCCTGCCTCAGCCTCCTGAGTACCTGGGATGTCAGGCATGTGTCTTTCTGCCTGGCAGCTATGAATCTCTTCATGTTTCCTTCCCCAGCTGAACCTGGATGAACAGCAGTCACTCCCTGTTTCTAAACTCAGCGCAGGGCAGGGTGGGGGCTGCTCCTATCCTGGCACCAGGCTCTGGGGCCTCAGGGAAGGAAGACAGCAGAGTCGCTGCCGGGTCTGAAGAAAGTGCCCTGGCTGAGAGCCCGGGAGTGCGGGCCCCGCCTCGGAACGACATCCAGCCCCCAGCCCCCCACGCAGAGCTGGACTCACGTAGGCCATGGCGTACTCGATTTCAGCGCCGCGCACCTCAGCCTTGAACTGGGTGAAGTAGAGGTAGGACTTCCCCTGGGGCCTGCAAGGGAGGCAGCGCTCTGAGTCTGGAGAGCCCTGCCCTAAAGGGCAGTCCCCACCCTGGGGGACAGCCGTGTCCCCCACTCCCCTCCCCTCCCCCAGTCCCACTGATGGCCAGTTCCCCGAGGCTGCCTCACTTCTAAACAGCCCGGCAGCATCCAGACCTCTGCCTCAGGCCTCCCTGCCTGCTCCAGCCCGAGAGATCCGAGCACGCACAGTCCTGCTCGGAATATTACTGGGCCAGGAAAAGGACAGGGCCTGTACCACACGGAGGGCACCCCAGAGGGGGGACCGCTCTGCCCACGGGCTGCACTCACCTCCAGATGGTGCAAGTGAAGTGCTGGTGGTCCTCGCTGGTGCCCAGACTCATCTGCCATTGCTGGAGAGAGGAGGGCAGGGGTAAGTGGGGTTCGGCTGCAGGCTCCCCAAGACTGCAGGACTCACCTCTGCTCTGAAGGCTGGGACTCGGTCCCTGCACTTATGAAGCAGCTGGTAAACCACTGAGCTAAATCCCGGCTCTCCTGTGTCTTCTAGTCCAGCTCAGCGCTGGCTCCCCCAGGGGCCGGGACCTCACCCACTCCACACGGTCGCCAAGGGCCATGGGGTCGCTTGGAGAACCCGCCCAATCATCGGGAGCAGGAATAGTTCTGTGACACCAGGAAAGACGTCCAGCTCGCTCCCTCGGGTCAGGGACCCTGCTGCGGACACATCGTGTGGGGGCTGGCACAGCGCAATCAAAATGACTCAGGCTCAGGCAGGAGGACTGCAAGTTCCAGTCCAGCCTGCGCCACTTAGAGCCCGTCTCAAAATAAGTAATAGTAAAGGGTGAGGGATGCAGCTCAGTGCAAAGGCCTTGGGCTCCATTCCCAGTACTGCAAAAAGAGAAGAAAACAAAACACAACAAAACCAGGCACCCCTCTGAGTAGTCTTTGTGCTCTGAACCTCACGGTGGCCTCAGAGCAGTCACTGGGGGGCTCAGGTGTGAGGGCGGCCTGCTCACCTTGGCTCTGGGGCCTTTTGCTAAGACAGAACTGGGTGGGTGAAACACACGGCGCATGCATGTCAGCCCGTTGTTATTTATTTCTTCGATTTTTTTTTTTTGAAATAAGGTATCCCAAGTATCCCAGGCTGGCCTGGAACTTCTGGGGATCCTCCTGCCTCAGCCTCCTGAGTGCTGGGATCACAGGCATGCGCTACACCAGCAGTTTTTTTTTACTGTACTTCTTAAGATCAAAGAAATGCCATTTCTCTGGGGTAGATCAGAATCTCAATCCACAAAAACAGATCCAGATCCACATAATCTTGAAAATATTGTGCCCATTATTTTTTCTTAAGGACCAACCACATCCAGGCTGATGCACTAGTCCGCGGGGCTCTGTCACCACAGTTACAGCATGTCCTGCACCCAGCTGGGACAGCACCCCCCAACCTTTGAGAGCCAGCTGTGTACTGTGGGCTCCTGGGCCCCTGACCTGACCCACTGCCAAGAATGACCTCCTTGAAATAGGTCGCTGGGGGCCAGGGATTTAGCTCAGTGGTGCGGCCGCCTGCCTCACAAGCACAAGATCCGGAGTTCAAACCCCGGTACCCCCCTCAAAAAGATGTCACTGGAGGTGCTATTCTGAGTCAGAAGACTGAAGAAACAGCAGGCCCAAGATGCTGGCCCACCAATTCTTTATTTATTTATTTTTTTCTGTAGTGCCAGGAGTGGAACCCAGGCCTCCTGCACGCTGAAGAAACGGGTACCACCAAGCTGCACCCTCAGCCCTTTTCTCATTTTCTGTTGCAGACAAGGTCTCATTAATCTGCCCACGCTGTCCTCAAACTGGTGAACCTCCTGCCTCAGTCTCCCAAGCAGCTGGGATAACAGGCGTGCGCCACCTCATCAGGCTTCCTCCTATTTCACAGAAGAATTTAGCTGCCTCCTCCTGACTCGGTTCTCTTGTCCAGCTCAGTCCAGAAGCACTGAACCCACTGCAGTCTACGCTGTGTCCTCCGTGTCTGGAGCCTCTCACGGAGCATATGGCGTCCTCAGGGCCTGTGCCCACGTGCCTGCGAGCAGGAAAGGCCCTGCCTCAGCATCTCCAGCTGAGTCTGCAAGGCCCCATGTCATTCCCGGGAGGTGCAGCAGGCTGAGGGGTGGGGTGCCGGGGTCCAGGGGCAGGGGGCCGATGAACCCTAACCCGGCACCGTGCTCCCCAGATCGGCCACACCTCCCTGCACCCCACACTGTGCACGGCACTGCAGGGCCGGGCCTCACGCAAACAGTCCTCTCCCCATGGCTGCCAACCGCTCAGGGCGCCTGACAGACACCTCCAAGAAGCAGAGCTGAGGAGGACAGCTCATGCTGGGCGTGGTGACGCACGCCTGTCATCCCGGCACCTGGGGGCTGAGGCCGGAGGATCCCACGTTTGAACCCAGCCTGGGATACTAGTGACTCAACGAGACCCAGTCTACAAAAAAAAAGTTTTTAAAAAGGACTAAGTTCTGCCTCCCCTGCCCTGGAGCCTCTCACTCAGCTGCCCGTGTGTGTCACACTCAGCCACAAACCTAGGGCCGGGTCCTCGCTTCTTGGGGAGCCCTCGCTGGAAATCTTTCCTTGAGGGCCAACACAGCAGGCCTGGGCCTGGGCCTAGGTGCAGCCTCTCCCGGTGCTGCCACCTTAAACGGCCCGCTGACCTACAAAGAACCCGTCCAGACCCTGGTCACAGCACGTCGGCTGTCAAGGACACAGGATTCTGGTTACCAGCCACATGCTGCAGTGAGAGGCATCACCAAGCGTGTGGCTGGTCCCCAGCAGCTGTCTGGGACATCACCCACGCCTGTCACCCTGGGGAAGCTCCTGGCACAGAGTGGGTCGAGGCTGGGGACGAAGCTGGAGACACTGTTCCGCACCTGCAGTGCCTAGCATCCCCAGCACCGGGGGATAAGCCCAGTCCTGGCACCGCCAGAAGTTTCTGACCGGAGAGGCAGTGGCAGCTCCCGGGAGTGTGTCCAAGGTCAGAGCCCTGCGGGGCTCCATCTCGACTCTGCGTCGCAATGGACCGGCTGGAGCAGGGCAGTGCTTCCTGGCGTCTGGTCCCGATAAAGACCCTCCCCTTCCATGGGCGCGTGCCCTTCCTGACATCACAAGGCCCAGGTCTGTCTGTGGCTGTGCCCCTTCTGAGCCGCTGACCTCTCTGGACTCTGTGAGCAGCAGCTCTAGGGTAATCCAGGTACTCATCCTGCGCTCGGCGCCCGTCGCGGTGCTACATCGGAGGGGCTTCCTGGAGCTGCTGCCACGAACCAGCCCACATCCGGCAGCGAATGACGCTAGTTCATGCCCCACGGCTCCAGAGGGGCGGCCCCAAATCAGGGGTCTGCAGGCTGCACTCCCCTGGAGGCTCTAGGGCACGGGCCTTCCTGCTTCTTCCAGCCTCCGGTGACCCCAGATCCCTGGGCTTGTGGTCACGTCACTCCAGTCCCTGTATCCGTCTGTGCATGACCAGCTCCACTGCAGAGCTTTTTTCGTTGTGGCACTGAGGACTGAACCCAGAGCCTTTGTTCTGAGCTCCACCCCCAACTCTTCTTGCGAGGTTGGCTCTTGCTGAGCTGCTAAGTTGCCCCGGCTGGGCTGGAACTTGTGATTCTCCTGCCTCAGCCTCCTGGAGGGCGATGACAGGTGTGTGCTACCGAACACCCAGCTTCTTCCCTGCTTCTCAGGCCGATCCATTTAGGGCCCACCTGGAAATTCCAGGATGCTGTCTTCACCACACCAACACGGATGCTTTTCCTAAATGAGGCCCTGTGCAAAGGCTCTGGGATTGAGGACATAAACACATCTTTCTGAGGGCCACCTCTCAACCCACAATACTGTATAACAAAGTACCACAAATGAAGCAGCTTACAAACCTCGCCCATTCTGAGCTCCCAGTTCTGCAGGGCAGAGGCCAGGCTTGGCATACTGGGTCCTTTGCTTGATCTCACAGGACCAAACCAAGGTGTGTGGCACAATTTGGTTCCTAGCCAGGCATTCGGGAGACTGAGGCAGGAGGAGCGCTTCGAGTTAGAGCCCAGCCTGGGATGCATACTGAGTTCAGGGACAGATTGAACTCCAGGTGCTACCTGGCCTCAAAAAACCAAAAATCAGAACAAAACAAAACAGAAGTTGGTTCCTTGTCCTCAGCTCCAGGCCACCTGCTCTCCCAGCCATGAGGTCCCCTAAAAGCTGGCAAGCATGCACCTTGCCCGGCTGTCTAACATGGCATCACTTTACTTTCTCTCTTGCAACCAGCTGGAGACAACAGCCAGCAAGGAACACAATCTTGACCTCCAAGAGCAGAGAACTGAATTCCGCCAACAGTCTGAAGAATTGGAAAGAGGTCTCCCCAGAGGCTACAGATAAGGGTCTTGAGGGATGGCACTTGGGAGTTCTACTGAGTAGGCCCAGACTCTGACCTGCAGAACTGTCAGACAGAACCAGGCTGGGAAGTGAACGCTCATAATCTCAGCACTCAGGAAGCTGAGGCAGGAGGACTGCTGTGAGTTCAAAGCCATCCTGAACTACATAGGGAGATCCTGCCTCAAAATACATAAATATAAAAGGAAGCAATTGTTTAAAAAAGGAACTGTCAAACAATACATAGGGTCTTTTACAGAAACACTGTACTGGAAGCAGGCATGGTGGCACACACCTGTGATCCCAGCACTTGGGAGGCTGAGGCAAGAGGATCGCCATGAGTATGAGGCCAGCCTGGGCTCCACAGTTAAGTTCCAGGCTAGCCTCAACTATATAACAAGACCCTGTCTCAAAAAAAACAAAAACAAAACAAACAAAAAAACCCCACAGTAATGGGAAGAGAACCCAGCCTTGGTGCTGTTATATCCCCAGGCCGGATTTTATTATTCTGAGACAGGGTCTAGCTAAGTTGCCCAGGCTGGGCTGGAACTTGGGATCCTTCTGCTCCCTCAGCCTCCCAAGAGTGCTCAGGACGTACACGGTGTTACTCGTGGGATTTTGTTACAGAGAAAATGAATACAACCTTAACACAGGCGAAGGGGACAGCAGAATCACATTCCACATTGTTCCTTTTGGTCCATGGAAGAAAAAGGGCAGCATGTGCTGCTGCTGTTTAACTGGAGCACTGTCCTCTTCTGGCTAAGCAAGAGTGGTTCGATGAGCGTCCACTGCCGTGCCCAGGGCGCACCGTTCCCTGGACAGCGTCTCTGCAGGGAAGCCGTGTGAGATTCTGCACAACTCACCTCATTGGTCCCTCCTTGAGATGCGTAAGTGAATGTACAGGTAAATTTGTCCTAGAAAAGGGGAGAAAAAAGGCTTGGTAGGAGATAATCCTTAGGGCCAAAGGTACAGGGTCTCAGGGCCTGCAGAATTAGCAGCAGAAAAAGATCCTGCTGATCTTCCTGAAGGCCAAGACCTGAAGCTACCTGCCCATTCCCTTCCTTTCAGTGAGCTCCAGGGTCATTATAAACAGTCCACGAGAGGTAGAATGGTGCTTTGGATTTGAACATCTGGGGCCCTGGACAAGAGAAAATTGTTTGGTTTTTTTCTTTTGGGTGGGGGTGGGGTGGTGTTTTTTGAGAAAAGTTCTCCCTATGTAGGTCCGAATGGCCTCAAACTTGAAGGAATCCTCCTGCCTCAGCCTCCCAAGGGCTGGGATTACAGGTGGGTGCCACTACCCCTCTGAAAACGAAAACCTCCTGAGCTGCTGCTACTTCTTCATCTGTCAAATGGCTCTACCAATAACGCCCCTGGCAAACCACTCCACTATCTAAGGAAGAACTTAACACGTGTTAACCACGGAAACAGTTAAAGAAGGAAAGGGAAGCGAGGAAGAGGCCTTTCCAGCCAGCCTGGGCTACGCCTACGTGCGCTGGCCCCACGTAAGGGGCACAGACCTGCGGCCACCGGGGCTCCCAGCCCCTTCATCCCCACGCCAGGGTCAGGCGCCTCGGGGAAGCCCTGCGAAGGTGACAGGTGAGCAGGCGCGAGGCCGAGACCACGCCCCCTCCCCGGAAGCCCCCCTCCCACGAAGCCCCATCCCTCAGTAAGCCGCCCTGCCCCAGTG